TTGGGAGTTCGATTCCCCACTGAGCCTCCTTGACAGGGGCTGGACTCTGTGATCTGTGGGGGCCCACCTAGCTCTGCAGTTCTAAGATTTATAACCAAAAGCATTTTCCCCTGAAGTCTCTCCACTCCAATTTGTCCTCCCAGTCAGTCAGAATCTGGCAAACCATTTCAGCCCTCCTGCCCCTCATTCCAAGGGTCCCTGTCATTTTGTTTTGCTTCTTCTCTCCTTTCCAACAGCGGAGATATACGAATACTACTATGAATATGAGGATGAATCCGAAGCCCAGCCCGCCGACCAACCGTTGTCACCTATTGGCTTGTTCGATGCCCGGCGCCGGCGCCGAAGAGAAGCCAAAGACCCCGGGCACCCTCGACGAGACATCACCTACAACGTCTGCTTCTGGTGAGTTAGGAGTTCCAACACCATCCTTCGCACCTGGGGCACGATCAGTCTCGTCATGTTTCGGAAACCAGGCCAGGTTGGGGCTTGGTCAATATTTTGATGGGAGGCCAGAAAGAAATGGCAAGGATGTCCAGATAGGACTGGAATACCAGGAAGGCCCTTGATGCCAATCAGAGTCCACCAGAGCCAATCAGAGATGGGCCCCGTACCTGGCTCGTTAGATAAAGTACAGTGATGCCTCGCTTGACGATGTTAATACATTTCAGCAAAATCGCTGTAGAGTGAAAACATTGTCTAACGAAATTTAAAAACCCATTGAAACGCATTGAAAACCATTCAGTGCGTTCCAGTGGGCTGAATACCTGCTCGTCCAGTGAAGATACTCCATACGGTGGCCATTTTCTGGTGCCTGTTAAGCGAAAAAGCCTTTGTAAAAACAGTGGGGGGCCATTTTCTTCAGCCGGTGGCCATTTTGATACCCGACAATCAGCTGTTTGCGAAAATCGGTTCCTGAAGCAGGGAACCAATCATCATTAAACGGGGGAAAAACCCATTGAAACCATCGCAAAAACCTAATCGTACAGCGATTTCCCCGTTAAGTGAGGCAATCGTTAAGCGAGGCACCACTGTAGCTAATTTTGTTCTTCAGGCCTTGGTTCCAAGCAGAGAAAAACTTTTATTTCAGAGGGGTTGTTGTGGGAGGTAGAACTTCCTGTCTGGATGTGTGTGGGCAATCACAGCATAATCTTAATCATTTCAGAATTGCAGAGCTGGAAGTGACCCTAATGTTGCTGAAGATCATCCTGCACTATCCCTACAGGCTGCTGACTCACTGAGTGGTTGTAGGACTAGTCTGAAATGGCACACAGCTCTCTGGCAGCATTTTATTAGTCGTTCCCAACCTTGGGTCCCCAGAGGTTCTTGGACTACAACTCCCAGAAGCCTTCACCACTAGCTGTGCAGGCAAGGCCTTCTGGGAGTTGAAGTCCAAGAACCTCTGGAGACTCTATTGCCACCTATTAATATATATTTTGAATTGTTTTTATCTTGTATGTTGTGAGCTGCCCAGAGTAGACTACAGTCGTGCCCCACTTTACGATTACCCCGTTTAACGACGAATCCACTTGATGGTGAGGTTTTTGTGAGGGTTTTTCCATTTTGCGATGATCGGTTCCCTTTTTCCGCTTTGCGATGATTGGTTCCCTTCTTCGGGAAGCAATTTTCACTTTACGACGATCAAAAACAGCTGATCGTCAGGTTTCAAAATGGCTGCCGGCTGAGGAAATGGCCCCCCACCTGTGCTTAGGGACGGATTCCTCGCTGCACTCCCCCCGCTGTGCTTTAGGGACGGATTCCTCGCTGCGCAGGCATGGAAAATGGCCGCCCCTATGGAGGATCTTCGCTGGAGAGAGAGCTTTCTGCCCATTGGAACACATTGGTCGGGTTTCAATGCATTTCAGTGGGCTTTTTAATTTCGCTTTACGACATTTTCGCTCTACAGCGATTTCGCTGGAACGAATTAACGTCGTAAAGCAAGGCAGCACTGTATGTTTAGATGGGCAGCATATAAATGCAATCAATCAATCAATCAATAAAACAATGACCAGCCTCAGCTACACTCTGCGCTACACTGACTCTTGACAAAAGGGTGGAAATCTTTCCTTTCAACTCTCTCCTTCATTCTCGCCCCCACCCCCAAATTCCATTCCCTACAGGAGGCAACGTGGGAGTCACATCACAGGCATGGTGATCGTTGACATCACTTTGCTCAGCGGCTTCCAACCCGACGAAGGTGACCTTAACCAGGTAGCTGTTCTGGAGGAGATGGTAAAAGGGGATGCCCAGGCGAGGGTTCAGGCTAGCCTTTTGCACTGTCAACCCTTCTGATCTCCAGACTCTGATGCTCTTAGGAGGAGATTCTCTGTTTTGTTGAACACAAAAGGGTAGAAAACACAGAGCATGGCTCTGCCGCCCTGCACGAACCTCCAGCTTGTAGTTGTGTCAATTGGATATGGTGCCACTAAAAGCTGTAGGGCCTCTGTGTGCATCCACTGGAAACAGGACAACCACAAACACAATGGGCTACTGTGCATGTGGTGAAAGGAAATAAGGTTTTAAATTAATTCATTCATTTTTACCCCACTTTTCTCCTTGTAGTGCATGACAAAATCACCCCGAGAGAACAAAAGGGAACCTCATTTTTTGACCACCATCACCCCCATTTTTCCCCATTAAAAAGCAAACGAGATAGGGGTGCGTAAGAATTACATTTGTGGGGCCCTGGCAGTTTGTATAGCCCATGCCGCCCATGCTCTAGAATGCGGTTCAGAGAGGTCATTTGCTTGTGGCCCAGGAATGGAAACCTTACTCTACCTATTTTATTAATTTTTTTACATGTATAGCCCATCTTTCCTCAGCTGAGTTCAAGACTGCATACATGTCTCTCTCCTATTTATCTTCCCCACCATCCCACAAAATCCTGTGAAGCCGTTCAGCCTGAGAGAGGCTGACTCCCCTGTCCACTTGGTGCCTCAGAGAGGACTGGAACCTTGATCTCCCAAAACCTGCAGTCCAACATTCTAACCGTGAGCCTCACCCCACTTGCCTCCACTTTCCCCTCATGTCTTCTCTTCCTGTCACCCATCTTTTCAGCTTCGAGATGTCCCTGAGCGATACATCAGCCACTGGGAGATTCAAGGACGACGACTGCTTCTCTACATCGACTCGGTGAGAGGAACATGCAGGGCAATGTTTATTGTCCCTTTGGACAGTGGTCTCCAACCTTGGGTCACCCAGATGTTCTTGGACTGCAACTCCCAGAACCTGGGTTTAGAACAGCTGGTGGTGAAGGCTTCTGGGAATTGCAGTCCAAGTACATGTGGGAACCACTGACTTGGGAGATTATCGGCAGAGAGCGTATAGCACAAGTCCCTTCATTTCTAGCCAGCATCGCTAAGGATGAGGATTATGGGAGTTGCAAAGCAATCAGTGTCTGGAAGACTGAATTTTGGCTCCCTGTGACTTCATTCCATTTTTTAAAACCCTTTTCTTTCCAGGGAGCTTAACATGGTGTATGTGGCTGTGTTCCACTTCATGCATGTTACAGACCTCTGAAGGAGATCAGGCTGAGTGACTGACCCAGTAAATGACACGGCCATGCTTGCTGTTGGGTGGGGGGTTTATTCCAGGTGCCAAAAAGTAATTTTTTAAAGCTCTGTCTCTGGTCAGTACAGTCTGAGAAGTGATCAGCATTGAGGTCCAGCACATGATGGAGGGCACCAGTTTGAGGGATGCTGAACTACCGGTTAAGTTATTCCTGTAATGTGCCCATGAGGGTCAGATTCTTCCTTTCTGGATTCAGATACTGATGTGGAAAATGGGATGTGTGTTTAACTGCTCCGTCCCCAGTGGAGTACCAAGCTGCAACCCCCAGCACTAATACATGACTGCTGTTTGCATGGCAAAGAGGGGATCTCCTATAGAAACCAATGGGATTATTTCTTCCCTCCATGAATGCAAATATCTTCAGTGGCAGATGACATGCTTTATACAGTGGTGCCTCGCTTAACGACGATAATCCGTTCCAGGAAAATCGCCGTTAAGCGAAAACATCGTAAAGCGAAAATAAAAACCCAACTGAAGTGCATTGTAACCCGTTCAATGCGTTCCAATGGGGTAAAAATTCACAGTCCAGTGAAGATCCTCCATACGGCGGCCATTTTCACTGCCTGTATAGCGAGGAAACCGTCCCTAGAAAACAGCGGGGGCCATTTTGAAAGCCGGCGGTCATTTTGAAGCTGCCGATCAGCTGTTAAAAAACACATCATTTTGCAACGAATCGGTTCCCGAAGAAGGGAACCGATCATCGCAAAGCAAAATTCCCCCATTTAGACCATCGTTTTGCGATCGCAAAAAGATTGTCGTAAAGTGGATCCATCATAATGTGGGACAATCATTAAGCGAGGCACCACTGTACTAGCCTTCACTGTGCCCCTAGTGCCTTTCTGGATGGGTTTGACTACCAGTTCCATCATCCACAGTATCTTAACATGTCTGCATAAAGGGGAGAGGCCCCTGTGCAAGATATGTTCTGGGTCTCCGCCTACCACTATACTGGCTTCTCCCTCTCAGTCTCTGTCTCTTACCCCACATATGGGGAAACATGGGAGCTGTAGTTCTAAAAACTAGCTTCTCCAAACTTTGAGTCTCACTCCATATTAGAAACTCCGTTTGCACAATCAGTGTTGATGTTCTTGTTTGTGTTATAGGCCTGTTTACTTTTTAAACAAATTGATTTTATTGTTACTCTTTGGCTGCCAACTGCTTCAAGGTTCAGAAAAGGAAAGAGATGTAATTGAAGAAGAAAATAATTAAGTATCCTTGTGAATAGGTGCCAGAATCGGATCGTGAATGCTTAGCATTTAAAGCAAGACAGATGGTGCCTGTGGGAAAGCTCCAGCCAGCTAGTGCAACCATCTATGACTTCTACGAACCAGGTAAATAGTGGCAGGAAGTTCCACTGTCTACTTTTGATTAGAGCTGAGATTCAATTGCTGTACTGAGTTCAATTTACTGTGGACCAGAAACACTGTGCATTACACCAGAAATATTATCAGGGAAGCATGCACAAAGACTTCCCATTAGATAAAAGAAAAGAAAAGAAAGAAACTCTTAGCAATATTAATGACAGATGTAAAAGGTAGCAGAAGCAGGGTCAGAAACCTAAATGTGGCCTTTCAACAACTTTTATGGAGAAATAAAAGATAATCATTATATATTGATTCTATATATTCACCTTTGCAAATATATAGAATCATTATAGTTGAGAAGAAATAGAAGAAACAAACAAACAAACAAGGAAAATAGAGCGAATCATTATATATTGATTCTATATATTCGCCTTCGCGAATATATAGAATCATTATAGTTGAGAAAGAAGAAACAAACAAACAAACAAACAAGGAAAATAGAGCTTTCTTCCATTAGATCCAAAAAATCAAAAGGAAATTTGTACAGTACTCACATTAGGGGTACCATAAGGAATGTTGATAAGAATCTTCTGCCTGATAAAAATAAGAAAAAGAAGAGATAGAAACAATGTAGTACTGTACAGAAGAGATGCTAAAAATGACAGATTCCTTTACACAAGAATCCTTTGATGAAAAACCTGTAATTTAGAAAGTGAAACAAAAACCTCTCTCAAAGCAACTGGAGGAAATAGATCACCAGAAATTGACGGAACACCATAGAAATACTTCAGGCTAGAAATAGAGGTCAAAAACACCAATACGCTGTTCACAATTATCTTCAATAAAGGAGGTGCTGAAGAACTAATACCATGGTCCAATAGAAAGACAAATAAGCATGTGATCAGATGATGATTTAGCTCACCTATTGGACCATCTATGGCATGGTCTAGTTCCATCTATTTTCCACATATTCGATGATATGCAGGAGGTACTACTTCCCCTCTATTCAGCACTGAGATGATATACAGGAGACACTATTCCCCCCTCTATTTAGCACTGGTTAGACCTCATCTTGAGTTCTGTGTCCAGTTCTGGACATAGCACTTTAAGAAGAAGGCTAACGAATTGGAACAAGTTCAGAGGAGGGCGAGAAGGATGATCAGGCCACTCGAAACCAAGGCCAGTGAGGAAAGACTGAAAGAACTGGGCAGGTTTAGCCTTGAGGAAAGAAGACCAAGGAGAGATAGGATAGCACTTTTCAAATACTTGAAAGCAGTCATAAAGAGGAGGGGCAGGATCTGTTCTCGAATCATCCCAGAGAGCTGGACACCTAATAATGGCTCAAGCTACAGGAAGCGAAATTTAGGCAGAACATTGGGGAAAACATCTTAACTGTTAGAGCAGTACAACAACAACAGTGACCTCAGGAGGGGGTGAGTGCTCCCACACTGGAAGCATCCAAGAGAAAATTGGACAGCCAATTTTGGCAGATTTCCTTTGATTTGTGTTCCTGCCTTGAGCAGAGTTTTGGAACCCGGTGGCTTTATCGGCCCCTTGAAAACTCAAGTTATTCTATGATTCAAATGAACTCCCTCAATCAATAAACATATCTCATGGGAGGTTTGTACACAAACACTTTCTCTATCCTCAAAACAGGCCAGCGCTGCAGCATCTTCTACGGTGCCCCCAACAAGCCCGAGTACGTGTCTGCTTTGTGTTCTGGGGACGTTTGCCAGTGTGCTGAAGGTAAGCCCCCCCTCCCCCGGGCTGGCTTTTGGGTCTTGAGGGACTTGGATCGAAGGTAGTTAGCAGGAAGCCAGCCCAGAAACCTCAGTGTGGACAGGAATGAGTGGTTTGGGCCGCTTCTGTATAACAGAAGCCAGGGCTGAAGGTAGGTGGAGGACCCTCCAGGTCATAGAGCTGTGCTTGCTCTTGAACGGAAACTTGGCAAGGCCACGCAGGGGGCTCGCTCCTGGTTTCAGCGTCATGCGCTTGGGCCCAATGTTGAATTACAGCTCGCCAAAAATCTAGCTGTGCAGCTAGGCTCTTTCTTCTTGGCTGCATCCAAGGACAGCAGGTGCGTCCAGCATACCATATATGCCTCTCCTTGAACCATGATCTCTTGCTGCTGGGTTTCCTAGCATTTGGGAGAGGTGGATTCCCCTTTGTCTGTAAGGATGTCTCACCCCCGGGTCATAGAGCTGTGCTTGCTCTTGAATGGAAACTTGGCAAGGCCACGCAGGTGGCTCGCTCCTGGTTTCAGCATCATGGGCTTGGGCCCAATGTTGAATTACAGCTCACCAAAAATCTGTGCAGCTGGGCTCTTTCTTCTTGGCTGCGTCCAAGGACAGCAGGTGCGTTCAGCATACCATATATGCCTCTCCTTGAACCATGATCTCTTGCTGCTGGGTTTCCTAGCATTTGGGAGAGGTGGATTCCCCTTTGTCTGTAAGGATGTCTCATCTGTAACTGAACCTGGAAGTGACAACACTACCCATGCTGCTAATATAGCAGACAGCCCTTTGATGGTGTGTCTCGATCATGTAACCACTTACAGTGGACCCTCTACTTACGGAATTCATCCGTATTGGAACGGTGGCTGCAAGTCGAAAAGTCTGTAGGTCGAATCTCCATTGACCTACAATGCATTGAAAACCGATTAATCCCATAACTGGCAGTTTTTATTCTATTTTTGTTCCATTTTGGTTTTTTTCTGGTCTGTAAGTCGATTCTCCGGCTGCAAGTCGAATCTAAATTTTGCGGCCAGAGAAGTCTGTAACTCGACGATGTAGCAGACAGCCCTTTGACGGTGTGTCTCGATCATGTAACCACTTCTCAGAAAGTGGATGATTCCTTGAGGGCCCATCTGCACCTTCCCCACTTGGCTGACAGCGACGTCACAGGCACTGTCCAATAGGTGTCCACCTCTCTTACTTCTGCTGTCGTCTTCCCTCTAAAATGCCCACGGCAGCTGGGATCTGATCGGTGAAATTTCCCATTTCCCAACTGGGCTCACCCAGGAAAACTGTGCCCCAAAAGACCCCTTTAAGAATCCAGGAATGCCATTTTTGCCCTCCTTATGCCTCTGCTTTGAACAGCCGAGGCCATCTAGATTCCTCCATATCCTTCCTGGAGGCATCCGCCATGTCCGATACCAATCTTGTGCTAATGCACTGGACACCCCTTCCCCCAGGAATCTAGATTCAACCACCTCTCTACTCCCTCCCTCTCCTGCGCAGGTGCTTGCCCCCGATCGAAGCGGACTCTGGATGATGCCATTACAGAAGACGCTCGGATGTCGTTTGCTTGCTACAAACCCCGGGTGCATTACGGTAAGAAGAGCAGCATGGTTCTGGAATTAGAATCCAATTCAAATGCACTATTTTGTCTTTGCTAACTTGCCCCAGTCCTGACATAGCTTGGCAGGAAGACGCTTCTTCTCTGTGGCCCTTTCACACCATTTTCATAGTTACGGACGATGGATCGTTGTGATGATGGACAAAAAGCCTTAAGAAACAAAATTATTTAATTTTGTTTAAAAATATGGTTGCCCAGCTTTTTCGAGTGGGAAGGCAGAATGAAAATATCATCAATCAAACATTAGGGCCATGGTGTCCAGATCTGGACTGTACAGTTGAAGGAGGATATGGAGGAGGTTCAGAGGAGAAATGCCCCAAAGAGCAAAAGGTACGGGAAACCAAGAAGAAGAAGAAGAAGGGGAGAGGGCTGCAAAGTGGTATGATAAGGCCATCTTCAAAGACTTGAAACTTGTGGCAGATGGAACTAGCTTGTGTTCTACAGTTCTGGGAGACAGGACCCAAAGTGATGGAAGGAGGGAGGGACAGACGGAGGGACGGACAGACAGACTTCTACCCCAGCCATCTAGGGGCAAGCCACAACTTTGGGCAGCTTACCTCCAAGAGAACACATAAAATAAAACATCAAAGGAAAAGAAGACTCCCACCCCTATCATCCGTTTAGTCATCATTTTATTTATTTATTTATTTATTTATTTATTTATTTATTCATTCATTCATTCATTCATTCATTCTATTTATATCCTGCCTATCTGGTTAATTACGACCACTCTAGGCGACCACTCATAAACATGCAAACCCAAAATCCCAAGATGGCTACAATTATAGACCTTTGGTCTAGATGGGCAGGGTAGAAATCCAATAAAATAAATTTG